GAGAGAGAGAGAGAGAAACTCTTAAGTTTGTGTTAATCAGGGGAAGAAATCCAGTGAAGCTTCAGATAAATCAGTGTTTAGATGCCCTGCTATAAGAAAATACAAAACAATCGAGAAACTGAAAATATTAAAGCATATTCCTATTCTACTTATGGAGTATATGAAGTCGTGTTCTTCCTTCTCTCTTTTTTATAACCGTAAAACCTTTTGATGTTCTATGAGCTCCCGTGAGAATGAGCCGATGACACAGATCTTGCCGACATTGAGGCCGTAGGACTGTTCATGTCGCGCTCGGCATTTTCAAAGTCTGCATGGCCCATCAGCATTTTGATTGCGATTTGAGCAACATCAGCAAACCATTCATCCTCTGGCAACACACTGAAATCAAAAAAAAAAAGGAAGAACATTCAATATTGCAAAAACAGTGCTGTAACATCAGGTTGGCAGCAAATATATTGTACACATTCAAAAAGCCTTGTGACTAATAAAAGCTAGAACTTTGCAGTTTTGTTTTTGCAAAATAAAACAGTGACTACCAAAAAATCTGAGTGTTTGGTCCAAAATCTCTATCCTGCATGAATTAGGATTCACAATTTTATCACTGTGCATGCATTAATTTAGCAAGGACAAAATAAATGAAAACCTGTATGGATCGATATTTTTCGCCTGGACGGCTTCAATAGCTCTACCGATTATGTTCTTCATCACTTGATGCAGGTTACGAGACAGATATCGTCCTTGAGATGCAAAAAGTATCACGAACTCCATATCCAAATAGAACTGCCAAAAAAAAAAAAGGTCCACATCTATTTTTGCCACAATCACATATCCATCTAAGAAGTTCTGATTCATTCTGAACATTATCGATAAATATGGAAATAAATTTGAAAATGTGACGAAAATTGGAACCTGTTGAAGCCCGAGAGGTCCTAACGTCCTCTCCCCCGTTTCGAGCTCATCCCAAAAGTTCTGATCTTCGGAAAACCATAAGATAACGGTTTCTGTTAATCTCATCAAGAGAATGGTGGCAAACCTTTCCCTTCCGACAAAAATATCAGATGCAATGCTGGCTATTCTTGTCAATTTTACAAAAAGTTCCTGAATACGTCCAGTTTTAACCACTGTTAGAATACAAAGAACTCCAATTATTTCAAAATCACAAACTGTGCCAGAAAGCTTTGTGTATCTTTATCAGATACCCACTTTTGCATGGTGTAACCGGTAAAGAAAACGAATGCCACATGGCTAATGTATTTTGAAATGTAGCTGTTCCTTATTTGTTTCTTTATTTGTTATTTCTAGAATATTTTTGTATGTATTCTATAGTTAGATTATTGTGCACATCTTCTTACTAGGCAGATTGATTTGATTTGATTTATCTTCCTATGGCAGGTATATCGCAATATAGAAGAAACTCTTCCCATTTATTTCTCCAGGATGGGGAAGACCTATAACAAAATTTAGCCCCTTGTCCCTTTGAGTGATGCAAAGTAATCCTAACAAAGCAACCTCTTGACAAAGAATAATTTCTAATATAAGACGTTCTTTTCGTTAGAGTACATAGCATTTAATGTATCCAAAATCTCTTTCGCAGAGTTTCAAAACATAATATTGGTGCCAACAGATTCTTCCATGCTATTGACAAAAGTCATGACAGAAAAATCAGCTTGCATCCAAGTGGCATATCATCTTTCGAATCAGGAGCAGCAGATAGAATATGATTTAATTTATATTGTGACCCGAGAAAGAGTTTTAAAGCTCTTGACCACAAAATATAGTTAGAACCGTTGAGATTGACGGTCGTTCCCAAAGCAGATTTAGTTTCAAAAGCCATAATGAGAAACTTGTATCAAAACAACAAGTTTTTTTTTTTTTAGGAAGAAAAGAGAAAATCAAATGAAGGAGAAGACGATTTCATAATGAAGACGATTTATTATTGTGTATGGTGTAGTATAAACTCCCAGTATGTACAGTAGGAGAAAAAATATCAAAATATAATATGTACCAACTATATACGATCTATCTACCATAGAAAGATAAATCAAAGCAATATGTAATAAGAAGATATGCACAATAAGGAATAAACTAACTATAAAATATGTACACCAATATTCCAACATTTTTCAATTTTCTTCTTCAGATAGTTCAACTTTAGGGACGGCCTTCTGTGTTTGTCCAATTTTGGTGTGTTCATTTGACAGAAACTAACTGATGTGTTTGTTGTCCTTAACAAAGTTCAATTACGTGAAGGTAATAATAATTCTAAAAGGAAACTGGGCCTTTCATAATTAAGCTAATCTTTAGGTTGTACTATTCCTTTTATCATTTTGAAAAATAATCACTCTGGAGTCTGGATATCTTCACATTACAGTAATCAGTTGCTGTATTGTCAATTTTCTCCAGAAAACACTTAAAGAACATACCATTTTTTTATTTTTTTAGTTTTTTTTGTGACACACAATCATATAAACATCTTTTACTCTCTTAAGAACTCCCCAGAGAAAGAAAAAGAAAAAATAGAAGGACAAACTTCAATCGGTCCATTAGTACCTGGAAAACTGGAGATGGGAACCACTCAGGCTCACCTCTGCCATCATCCATGCACAAATACATGTCAGCATTCAAACGAACCCCTCCATCCTCGGTGAATATGAGGTCGAGCGCATGCTGGCGGCAAAAGCTGTCCCTCAGCTGGTCCACCAGCCTCTGAAGCCTTCTCTTAAGCTCCCTCTGCTCGGGTGGGCGGTTGTTTCTTTCGAAAGACCTACGTCCCTGTTCGTCATTTCTGGTGAAGGATGAGAGCTTAGTGGCCGCACGTGGCAGGAGTTCGTCCGCCAGGGATAGCGCGTTTGCTAGCAGGGCTATCTGCTGGGTCTCGGTCTCAGCAAGTTTGACTATTTTCCTTCCAGAACCTTCCAGATTCTCGGTCTCAAACGAGGCTGGGAATGCATTAATCATGGTGCTGATATAGGAGCCGAATGATTGAAGGATGCCCTCAAGGGCCTGCTCGGATAGCTGCATGATGTCTAGGGAGCCGATGTCTTCACAGAGCTCCTGAGGGTTATGATTCAGTGTCATTCTTTTGCATGTCTAACTTTGAATACTTTTCAGTTAGAACTGGTACAAGTCAAGTTTTGATTTGTCCCAAAGGGCAGAACCCAATGAATAATATCCCAATATATTACGTATTTCAAAGTGCACAATCACACATGATCGATCATTCATTCCAAAGCCAATTTCAGTCACCTGAATCATTAAATTGAACCTATGAGCACTGCTAGACAGCTTCTGCTGCGACGCCACACTGCTTCCCACCGGTGGGAAGCTCAGCAACCAGTCGTCCAGCACAGCAACAGCAGCCGTGCACAGATCAATCCTCTTGAGGCCCGCAGCCAGGGCTTGGTCCAGGTACGGCCTGAAGACCTTCAGCAGCGTCGGGCACAGCGCAAGCCCACGGTCCTCCAGCAGCGCACAATGGCCAAGGCACACGTGCACACATTCCGCTACTGCCCTCAGGCACCCGGACGCCGCGGGCCCCGCAATCACCACCCTCCCAACCAGACCTGCCAGTGCCTCAGTCTGCCCCACGGCCCACGTCACAAGCTCCGAAGCGTACGCTGGTTCGTCGTCGAAGATGGCCAGTGAGTCGCTCGCCGCCTGGGCCACGGTCGAAAAGACGAGGTGGGCAAGGGCTGCTGTGCACGACCCCCCATGGCCCAACCCTGGCTGCAGCAGCAGCTGCATGCTCCGTTGAAGCTTCCGCTGGCGGGACCCAAGGAGAAGGGCGTGCGCACGGGGCCCGTCCCCGAGTCGCTTCATTGCCTGGACCGCGGATCGGAGCTCGGGTCCCGTTGTGGAGGCCTGGCAGGTTGACTCAGCCAACTGATCGGCCAGCCTCTGGCGGTACTCGAGGATCGTGTTCTGCAACGACAATAGGGCCGAGGGGGTCAGGAATTTGTCGTCCGTTGCACGCTCGGCCTCGTCCAGGACGGATAGGGCCTCGTCAACGCGGTGCTCGGCAAGCAGGATCTCGAGGTTCTCAACGAGGGGGTTGGAGTGGTCGGTGGTGGGGCCCAAGGGTTCGAGGGGGTCGTCGTGTGAGTGGTGGGGCCCTTCGTGGAGGGTCTCGATCTGGACTCCGTCCGCAATGGTGTGAATGATGTTGGCACGGGACGAGAGGAGGTTTTTGAGGGAGACTAGCTCCCCCTCCAAGTCCGAGATTTCTCTTGATGTCCTGTGGAAAATATTTTTCTGATATGAAAGTTGTGCTCAACGTTACAGGCTATGGACTAAAGTTATTCATCACTCTAAAAAACTGTCTTTCAACGTAGCATAGGTCTAATGATGACAATGTTTCTTTGCATAGCTTCGTGCCATTTAACTGACTAAAAAGGCACTAGTCAAATCTAGAGTGACTCTTTCATACAAGTCACTTTTCACTACCTTTTCGTTAGTTGTAATTGATCTTTTTGCTAATCGTTTCGCGCAGAAAATAAATTTAAGCGAGAATCATATCAGCGGCTTGAAAATCTAAACAGCTCAAAGATGAATCATATACAGAATCGCAAGAACAAAGCATATGAGAAACCAGAATCAATGGAAAAGGTCAGCTAGCCGTACAGTTGCGTAAAGCTGTACGCTCACCGTATAAATGATGCGTAATTGGCGTAAACATTTTTCCGCATTTCCTCGGCAGAGGCCTTCTTCAAGCCCACAAGGTAAATGCAAAGGTGCCGAATGGCCTGTCGA